AATTGACAGGAACTAATATAGATTTAACAGCAGCAACAGTAACCATCAACGGAACGTTTGTTGATTCATCTGATTCAAGATTGAAATATGATATAGACAATGTCAAATCTAATTGTATGAATATTATTAAGAAATTTAAACCGAAGAAGTTTAAGAGACACGATAGAAATGATAACGGTAAAACTCATATAGGATATATAGCAGATGAAGTATTAAAAGCAATTCCTAAAGAATTTGAAAATGTTGTATGTAAAGACAGAGAGTATTTAGGATTAAATTATTTAGTTTTACCCGTGCTAGTTCATAAAGCAGTATTAGAATTAAATGATAAAGTAGATAAACTTGAAAAAGAAATTAAGGAATTGAAAAAAGAAAAATCTAAATAAACAATTAAATATAAATATATAGATAAATAAATAATTAATTAATATATAGATATATGGACATTGACAGGAAAGTTAAAATAGAAGCATTATTTAAGAATAGTAGTATGAGAGAAAAAACTTGTTATTGTGGTTGTATAATTACTAAGTTAAATAAAGATGAATTTACATTAGATAAATGTAATAATGAAGAATGTAGTTTTAATCATTCTAAATTTGATGAATATATTAAAGAATTAAAAAAACAAAGGGAAGAAGAGAAATTCGACAGGCGAACACATAAGTGTTGTATGTTATGTACTCCTATTATGTGGGGGTTTTGTTGGCCTATTTTAATTCCTTTGAATATTTATTATTGTATTGTATACCTTTGAATATTTATTATTGTATTATATTATAGTCTAAATAATAATATATAATGGGCAATTCAAACAGTAATATTGAAACTTCAAGTATTGATAAAATCAATGATATTGATGTAGAACAATTAGATTTAAGTAATATTGATAAATTACAATTGAAAGCAATTAAGCAAATGAGTGAAAGATTAGAAAAACTGGAGACAATGAAATGTGACAAATTAATATATAAATTACCAGCGTTGAATTTGTGTAGTTATAGTTTGTTCTGAATAAATAATATTAAACATTATTAATATTATTAATTTATACGAATTTCTTTGTTCTTGTAGTATCTATCCTTACTTTTTTGTTTAAGTTCTTCTTTATGATTTTGGTAGTATGTTTTGGCATTTGTTGAATATTGTTGTTTCTTGGTTTCATAATCTACCTTTTTATATTCTTTATAATTTTGTTTGTTTCGTTGGTAATACTCTTTGTCATACATGTGTTCTTCTTCTCTGGTTATGTGTGGTCTTTGTTGGTTCAATGATGCTTTCAAAGTTTCTATATGTTTTCGCTCTTTACTCACTGCTTCTAAACTATTCATACAGCATTCTGTTGTAATTAAAATCATATCCCAGTTTTCCCATCCTCCATTTTCCCGAAGAAACTGGTATAAAAAGCGGTGAAATCCCCTGTTGTTAGTATTTTGGCATAGGTTTTTATGGCGATGTTTTCTTTTAGCAAAATTAGTTGTATGTCCTACATATATGTCCTTAATATCTAAATCCTTACAAACAAGTTTGTAAAAATGAGTGTTTGCATAATCCATTGCTTTTTTCGGCATAGTCTTATATATTCTTATAACTTCTTATTTCTTTATGTGTCTTTCATCATCGTGTACCAATATTGAGCGTTCAAATCTCACCATAAAGATTTTATTTACATCACTCTCACGAAGTTTAACAAATAAAAAACTAAAAGGCTGGTCATTAACCGCCATTTGATATATTTTCATTAGTGTTTGTTTATCTACTAATGCTGATTGTTCCATTATAAAAGTATCCACCTCGGACATATTCTTTAATTTGAATATATATAAACTGCTTGTGTTCAATCTTACAATAGGTGCTAAGGCATTGTATTTTTGAACGGCTGTAATAACGGATAAACCGAAGTGTCTTGATTTTGTATATAAACCGTGTAATATTTTACTATATCGCATAAATGTTTTATCTTCTGCGAAATCATCAATTATCAGAAGACACGAAAATAATTTCTTCATTCCTATTTTCTTTTGATAATCTATAATTTTATGTTGTGTATCAATTATATTTTGTAATGCTTCAGCGTTGTATTCATCAAATAAGTATTGTTTTTTATTATTATCTATTTTTAATTCAGTTTCTACATATTTAATAATTTCTCTATACGCTTCATCAATAGTTGCTGTTGGGGAAACGATATATATGCGTTCGAAGCAGTTCCGATATACTTTTAATACGAGGTTCTGTATAAGTATTCCTTTGCCGCCCTGTGATGAACTACAAATAATACTACGAAAGGGCAATTTGTCTGCTTTATCATATGATGGCTGTTTAAACTCATACTGTCTAACATTTATTGGTTCTATTTTTGGTGGTGAAGTATCAGGCATAATAAAATAATATTAAATATATTTAGAAAATTATTTATAATTAATATTAAATGGAACATCGTTTTTTCATGATATGATGACGGCAAATATCAATGAAAAAATGGAACAGGTTTTCCATTGCTTCAATCAATAAGCATTGAAGATAATTAGTTTTGTGTCTTGCTCGCGTGTGCAATGAAAACCCAAGTGCTGTGCCCCACCAATATTCTATTATGCATGAAAATAATAAGATCAAATAATTATTTTTAATGATTATTTCATCTTATTATTTATATGGATAGAAGTTATTCAGATTATATTGATATAATAGATGAAGTAGAGAATATAGAACAAGTAATAATAACTGGCAACAGATGTAAGAAAGTATGCTTTTATACATTAGAATTAATCAAATTAGGAATACAATATACCAAAAATAAAAATGTAAATATTAATATAAATGCCAAGAAAGAAAAAGAGTAAATCAAATTCAATATTAGATAATGAAAGACCAATGCCAGATATTGAAGCTCGGAAAAAAACAACGGAAAGTGTTAAATCACTGGGCGAAAGTAAAGCTGTAAAATGCGATAAATGTAACCATGTTATGAATTTTAAGAATGAATTGACGGTAGATAAAAAAGATGGTGTTAAGGTTAGTTGTGTCCCATGTATGTTTTCTTTTAAAAAAAACAGACAAAGATTTTAATATTCAGAAAAAATCAGGAGGCGATATGGTTATTGAAACTAACGAACATTTGATTAATGTTAGTTTCAACAGGGACATAAGTTAGTATTTAAAGAGTAGATTGTACATTAAATCAATTTTATAAATAATTAAATATTTAAATAAATAATTATATAAATAAATATATATAGAAATGTCTGAAGTTGAGAATGATGTTATTGTTGAACTATCAAAGAAGATAATGACAGTTAGTAAAAATGTTAAACTGTTGTACGAGATGATAAAAACTATTGACCAGAAACTTGATGCAAAGGCAAACGAACCAAAAAATAGCAATGAAGAGAAGGAAAAGATTGATAAAATATTTGAAAAGAAACAAATAGGAAGGCCGTCTGGCAGTTTTCAAGATAAGCAAAAGCAATATATGGATATGTTAAATAAGAACAAAATTAAATCTCCAAAAACAGAAACTATTGAATTTTATAAACTGTTTAAGAACGAAGAAGGAAAATACGAATTAATATAATACATATCTAAATAATTCTAATAATATGAATTTATTAGAACTATTTTCAAGCAGTGGTTCTGGGGATAATTATGTAATACATAAGCAGGAAGATTTATACAAAATACCTGCTGAATTGATTTGTGAGATTTTGACGAGTTTGAGGGGTTAAGGAATTTGAGTTGGGGTTGGGAACATTCCCCAAGGTTAGGGGGAACATTCCCCAAGGTTAGGGGGAACATTCCCCAAGGTTAGGGGGAACATTCCCCAAGGTTAGGGGGAACATTCCCCAAGGTTAGGGGGAATATTCCCCAAGGTTAGGGGGAACATTCCCCAAGGTTATGGGGAATGAGTTCTGGATTGATGGGGAATGAGTTCTGGATTGATGGGGAATGAGTTCTGGATTGCTGGGGAATGAGTTCTGGATTGATGGGGAATGAGTTCTGGATTGATGGGATTTGAAGACATATTGCCTGACTATTATTTTAACCCATAAACCTTACAATAAAAAACATTGTAAGATTTATGTTTTGAAATTATGGGGATTTTATATTTTGGGATTTTGGGAATTTGGTTTCAAGGAATATTGATTATAGGAAGTTCTTAAAATGTATTTAAAGGTTTAATGACATTGTATTATAAGAACTATGGAAGGAAACATTTGTGTTTTAATTAAAGGTAAAATGTATGAAGGAATTTTGGAAAACGGTTCATTCAAAACTGATAATGGAAAATTATGTAGAAACTGTGGTAGAATGAAACTATTTGACGAATTTAATAAAGATAATAAACAATGCAGGCAATGTACAGAAAACAAAAGGAATAACCGAATTAAACATAAAGATAGATACAATGAGGAGCAAAGAAAAAGATACGAAGAAGATGATGAATATAGAAATAAAACACTTGAAAGTAATAGAAAATGGAACAGTATAAAAATCCAGTGTGATATTTGTGACTGTTATTTTTCTCCATGTTTAAAAAAGCAACATCTTAAAACAAATAAGCATAAAAGAAATTTAGAAATGAAACAGGCAGAAGAAAATTAACATTATTTTTATTAATAAATATTTTACATAAAATTGTATAAGGTTAATATGTAGAATAACTTCTTAACCTTATATAATATTTCAATGAAGTAAAATTATTTTCAAGTAATTAGATAAGGTTAATGAATATTAATAATGTATTAACCTTATTTAATAATTGAATTATAAACCTATATTTTATATTTTGGTAAGTTGTTCTGATTTTTTTTTTACTTCATTCAACATCTGTTCTTGTATTTTTTAGGGGAACCCTGTGAGGAGCTTTGCAGACGTTGGCCGGTTTGCAAGTCTTGGGTAGGTCTGCAAGAACAGGGTCTCTCCTTTTGTTTTCTTTTTTCCCAACTCCAAAGATGCTCTGTTGCCTCTTGGGCCCCTGTTTTCTAGTTCTCAGTGTGCAGGAGCATGTGGAAAAGCTGGTTGAGAAGTTTGCGGGGCCGGAGTATTGGGCACGCCCGACACCACGCTTTCGGAAGTATGTGCGAGGCGAGAGGCTCACTTGGCCTGGAACAGACTTGCCCTGCCCGGGTGAGTTCCCAAACGTTTCCCAGATAGATGATGGCCGGACCACAGCGTTCGGCATTAGCAACGCCTTTGGCACCGGGAAGACGGAGGTTGCGATCCGGAGTGCCGAGATGACCTGCGCAGCGGAGCCTGGCTTGAGAGTCGCTTACATCTCTTTCAGCAATGGATATTGGGCTTTGACTGACTCCGCTTTGGACGACAGCATCAGGGAAAAGAGGGGCAGCCAGGTGGTGTTCCGATGCAGCAAGTACTGCGGCCTATGGCTCATGGCAGGGATATGGGCAACGCGGGTCATTGAGAACGAGGTGCAGGGCAATTCGGAACTCTTCCAAGCAATTGTTGGAGCTTACATGGGAAATCCTCAGTGGAAGCTTCCTGACTATCGTGAAGAAACCGATGCCAAACTAATCGTCATTCTTGACGAGGTGCAGAGGTTCAGCTTCAGCGCACTGGAAAGCCTTGTTACCATGATCATTGTGCCGTCAAAGACTCGCATGAGTCTTGTGGTTGGTGCTTTTTCACCGTCCTTTTTGACATCTGGCAATCGACTGCGCGATATAAGGCTGCCAGTATTAGCAGAGGATGACATGGAGCAGATTTTCCAGGACAGGATTCCAGGTGCGCGGATCAATTTCGAAGGAGTGTCATTGCCGGGGCTCTTCGGCGGCTGTGTGCGGCCGCTAGCCAGTTGGTCCTCTGCAAAAGAGGAGCTTGAAATGAACCAGGACCCCACCCAGTCCTGTCTTCGCCAATATCAGGAGGTTGCGTCCAAGTACTGGACGACGGCGGACCTCTTTCAGGCGGCCGTTGCGGATGTGCCCATCCGCTCTGAGATGCTGAAAACTGCATTTATGCAGAACAGCCTGAGTCTCGGTGCCGCCTTCGTCTTACCCAAAGACGGGCATTTCCTTGTTTCGCTGCCACCCTTGCAGATTGCGGCAGGCCAGTTCGAACTTCCAACTGAGATAGATAAGGGCACTCAAAGGAAAGTTCGTTACACACTGACGGATTTTTGCTCACCTACGTGGACGCAGTTCGAGGAGCTCACGGGCATCGCGCCAGCTTTGCGAGTTGCTGCGTTGTCACAAACCAACACGGGCTTGATTCTTGGTGGCCATACCGTTCTGCAGCATGTCTTTGGAAGCGGGGCCTCCAATACCAAGGCCCAGGAACTGCTCAGAAAAAATGTGAGGGAGGATCTCGCAGTGCGTTGGGTCAGAGGTGGCAGAGATGTGGCAGAAGTGAACTTTTCTCAGCTCAGTTGTCATGCTGGCGAGAAGGTGCTGTTGACCATTAGCATGGCCGCAGATCACGATTCGAACTTCGACCACTTCCTCATTGTCCCGCTGGACAATGGCGAGAAGCTCATGTTCTGCTTAGATGCAAAATTTAGCGTGGAGGGTGTGAAGACGGACTTGAACTTCCAGCAAGACCTTCAGCCCAAGCTGAAGGGATTCTCAGCAATGAACCTTCCAACAAGTTGGCATACTGTGGTCCTTATCTTGTCGAATCGCAGGATCACCAAAGGACAAGCAAGACGTGTAAAGAATTCTGCAGAGGCACCGCTAATCGCAGCAGGGGCGGAGCACCTGCAGCGCGTGCTGTCGTCCTCTTTGGTCCCACCAGCATACAGAGAGCGGCGGTGAAAAAAGCAGAGTTAGTGGATGTGAGTGGGACGCTGGTGCATGTACGTTTTGCAGCCAAAACACCGCGAGCGCTTGGGATTGCAAGGCGAGGTCATGAACTTGAACGAACAGGGGCTGGCAATGCGGGGTTGCAAGGGTTGCGTCGGTTCTCATTGCAATCCCCATTCAAATTATTTTGACCTCGGCTGCGAAGAAGCCATTGAAACTGCATCTCTAGAGTCTGCGTGTGTGTGTGCTTAGAAGACCTGAATTGAAAAATGTTGGCGTGCCTGCCGACGGGGTTTTGGGGCTGCGAATCACACTCCAGGATTCGTTTTTCCCGAAAGCATCGCGAAGGGTTCTTCCGTGCGGAGCCCTTGGACAAGTTACATAGAGCCAAGTTACATAGAGCCAAGTTACATAGAGCCAAGTTACATAGAGCCAAGTTACATAGAGCCAAGTTACATAGAGCCAAGTTACATAGAGCCAAGTTACATAGAGCCAAGTTACATAGAGCCAAGTTACATAGAGCCAAGTTACATAGAGCCAAGGTTAGGTAGAGCTTAGAGCTTCGGCGTTAGCAGCTATGTAAGTTATTAAGGGCTGCCGCCCAGTGCCGCCGACCCCTTCAGTTGGATGGGCGCCTATCATCGTCATCATCACCGTTATGATCATCGATGATAACCATCATCGTGCATCCTCTGCATCACCAACAGTGATGATGATAATGATGACTACGCGCCCTCTGCATCTCCAATCTCATCATCACCGTTATCATCGTCGATGATAACCATCATCGTGCATCCTGTGCATCACCAACAGTCATGATGATAATGATGATTGAAGGATCGTCATCATAGCCATCGCCCATCATCGTCATCATCACCGTTCTCATCATCGATGACCTCTGCATCGCACACAAGCGTGATGATAATGATGACTACGCGCCCTCTGCATCTCCAATCGGCTCTAACGGGACTTTTGAATCGTGTATGAAAAAGATAAGGATCCTCATCATAGCCGTGGCCCATCATCGTCAGCATCACGGTTATTATCATCGATGATAACCATCATTGCGCATCCTCTGCATCACCAACCACCATGATGATAATGATGACTGGCACTTTTGAATCGTATATGAAAATGATAAGGATCGTCCGTCAGCATCACCGTTATCATCATGGATGATAACCATCATCGTGCATGCTCTGCATCACCAACAGTCATGATGATAATGATGACTACGCACCCGCTGCATTTCCAATTTCATCATCACCGTTATCATCATCGATGATAACCATCATCGTGCATCCTCTGCATCACCAACAGTCATGATGATAATGATGACTACGCATCCTCTGCATCTCCGGCTCTAACGGCACTTTTGAATCGTAAAGGAACAAGATAAGGATCGTCATCATAGCCGTCGCCCATCATCGTCATCATCACCGTTCTCATCATCGATGATAACCATCATCGTGCATCCTCTGCATCGCCAACAGTCATGATGATAATGATGACTACGCACCCTCTGCATCTCCAATCGGCTCTAACGGGACTTTTGAATCGTTTGTGAAAAACATAAGGATCCTCAGCATAGCCGTGGCCCATCATCGTCATCCTCACGGTTATCATCATCGATGATAACCATCATTATCTATCCTCTGCATCACCAACAATCATGATGATAATGATGACTGCGCATCCTCTGCATCTCCAACTGGCTCTAACGGCACTTTGGAATCGTATATGAAAAAGATAAGGATCGTCATCATAGCCGTCGCCCATCGTCGTCAGCATCAGCGTTATTATCATGGATGATAACCGTGCATGCTCTGCATCACCAACAGTCATGATGATCATGATGACTACGCACCCTCTGCATTTCCAATCTCATCATCACCGTTATCATCATCGACGATAACCATCATCGTGCATCCTCATCGATGATAACCATCATCGTGCATTCTCTGCATCACCAACACTCATGATGATAATGATGACTACGCATCCTGTGCATCTCCGGCTCTAACGGCACTTTTGAATCGTATATGAAAACGATAAGGATCGTCATCGCCGTCGCCCATCATCGTCATCATCACCGTTCTCATCATCGATGATGACCATTGATGATAATGACGACTACGCACCCTCTGCATCTCCAATCTCATCATCACCGTTATCATCATCGATGATAACCATCATCGCGCGTCCTCATTGATGATAACCATCATCGTGCATCCTCTGCATCACCAACAGTCATGATGATAACGATGACTACGCATCCTCTGCATCTCCAATCGGCTCTAACGGCACTTTTGAAATGTGTATGAAAAAGATAAGGATCGTCATCATAGCCGTCATCATCACCGTTATCATCATCAATGATAGCCATCATCGTGCATCCTCTGCATCACCAATAGTCATGATGATAATGATGACTACGCGCCCTCTGCGTCTCCAATCTCATCATCACCGTTATCATCATCGATGATAACCATCATCGTGCATCCTCTGCATCACCAACAGTCATGATGATAATGATGACTACGCATCCTCTGCATCTCCAACTGGCTCTAACGGCACTTTTGAATCGTGTATGAAAAAGATAAGGATTATCATCACAGCCGTCGCCCATCATCGTCATCATCACCGTTCTAATCATCGATGATAACCATCATCGTGCATCCTCTGCATCACCAACAGTCATGATGATAATGATGACTACGCACCCTCTGCATCTCCAATCTCATGATCACCGTTATCATCATCGATGATAACCATCATCGTGCATCCTCATTGATGATAACCATCATCGTGCATCCTCTGCATCACCAACAGTCATGATGATAACGATGACTACGCATCCTCTGCATCTCCAATCGGCTCTAGCGGCACTTTTGAATCGTAAAGGAACAAGATATGGATCGTCATCATAGCCGTCGCCCATCCTCGTCATCATCTCCGTTATCATCATCGATGATAACCATCATCGTGCATTCTCTGCATCACCAACAGTCATGATGATAATGATGACTACGCGCCCTCTGCATCTCCAATCTCGTCATCACCGTTATCATCATCGATGATAACCATCACCGTGCATCCTCTGCATCACCAACAGTCATGATGATAATGATGGATCGTCATCATAGCCGTCGCCCATCATCGTCATCATCACCATCATCATCATTGATGATAACCACCATCGCGCACCCTCTGCATCACCAACAGTCATGATGATAATGATGACTACGCACCCTCTGCATCTCCAATCGGCTCTAATCATGGCCGTCGCCCATCATCGTCATCATCACCATTATCATCATCGATGATAACCATCATCGTGCATCCTCTGCGTCACCAACAGTCATGATGATAACGATGACTACGCACCCTCTGCATCTCCAATCTCATCATCATGATAATCATGTCCACGCATCTTTTGCATCACCCATGGGCTCTAACGCCACACTTGAAATGTATACTATACAAAGACATGGCGACGACTACGTATCAGCATCACCAGCAGTTCTCTTGATAATCATGTCCACGCATGATGATGATGATGATGATGGTGGTGCTGATGATGATGATGATGATGATAATGATATGAAAAAGAGAAGGATCGTCATCATGGCCGTCGCCCATCATCGTCATCATCACCTTTATCATCATCGATGCTAACCATCATCGTGCATCCTCTGCATCACCAACAGCCATGATGATAATGATGACTACGCATCCTCTGCATCTCCAATCGGCTCTGCATCTCCAATCTCATCATCATGATAATCATGTCCACGCATCTTTTGCATCGCCAATGGGCTCTAACGCCACACTTGAAATGTATACTATCAAAGACATGGTGACGACTACGTATCAGCATCACCAGCAGTCCTCATGATAATCATGTCCACGCATGATGATGATGACGATGATGATGATGATGATGATGGTGGTGCTGATGATGATGATGATGATGATGATAATGATAATGATATGAAAAAGATTGCAGATGATGATGATGATGATGATAACTATCATCGTAGCATCCTCTGCATCTCCAATGGTGATGATAACTATCATCGTGGCAACGCATCCGCAGCACCCTTCCCGTGCGCCTCCCCCTTTCAGGAGCAGGGGTCGGCGGAGTTTAGGCTTCTAAGGTAGAGCTTAGAGCTTCGGCGTTAGCAGCTATGTAAGTTAGTTTAGGTTTTTCTGGCGCCGGGGCGGGAGTTTGATCGTCGCTCGGGATTGCGACCCTCTGCGGAGATTCGCGTGGTCGAGGTTCAAAAACTGAGGACTTTTTACGATTTCTGCGGTGCGCGCGCAACCCTTTGCGGAGATTCGCGTGGTCGAGGTTCAAAAACTGAGGACTTTTTACGATTTCTGCGGCGCGCGCGCGACCCTCTGCGGAGATTCGCGTGGTCGAGGTTCAAAAACTGAGGACTTTCACGATTTCTGCGGTGCCCTCTGCGGAGATTCGCGGTCAAAAACTGAGGACTTTTTACGATTTCTGCTGGCCGCGCGCGACCCTCTGCGGAGATTCGCGTGGTCGAGGTTGAAAAACTGAGGACTTTTTACGATTTCTGCTGGCGCGCGCAACCCTTTGCGGAGATGTCGAGGTTCAAAAACTGAGGACTTTTTACGATTTCTGCTGGGCGCGCACGACCCTCTGCGGAGATCGTGCGCGTCGAAGCGGTTTCGCTGTGGCGCCGTGCGAATTTGTGTTAGTCTCGGCGAACCCTCTGCGGAGATTGTGCGTGTCGAAGCGCTCTCGCTGTGGCGCCGTGCAATATTCTTGCTCGCAAAACGGCCTTTGGAAGTTGTCTCGTGGTTTGCGCGCCTGCTTTCGCAATCCCGCGGTCGCGGTCTCGATTCCCCCCTGGTCCGCGGCAGCTCCGGCTTGAAAATCGCAGCTTTTAAGTACAAACGTAGTACGCGGAGCGTGCTCCTGCAGCTCCGGCTGGAAAATCGTAACTTTTAAGTACAGACGTAGAGTGCGGAGCGTGCTCCCG